AGCTGGGAGACAAACCCAGGGCTGGGAGCTGCTGCAGTGATTCCCCCACAATGGTTTTTCCCAGGTAGGTGGAACAGGATGTGTATTCCAGCATGCCTGAGAAGCTGCTTTGTGAAACTGCTGCGTTTCATCCATTATTCTTTCATTTTCCATTGCAAGTCAAGTCCGAGACTTGAGGCGCAGCTGAAGGCAAGTGGGATGGAGGCAGGAGGCTCAGACTGCAAGAGGAGGGCACCTACCAAAAAGATCACTCTTCTTTCAGCAAGACAGCAGAGAGGGAGGAAAGGCTGGAGCATAGCAGGAGGTACAGACAATAGCAGTAAATGCTGCATTTAATCACATTGTGCGGTGGGGTGGAAATGAAGTCTTACTCTGAGGTTATAAGTGAAATACAAAGAGAAGTGAAAGAAAAGAAAGCACTGTGGGAAAAGAGCAAGGAGGTCAAGACCAGGGGGAACAGGGGAAAGGAAACAATTCAGGAGTTAAGTTGTAAAAGCAGTAGCAGAGGAGGCTTAGATGGCTGGAAGCCATCACCAGGACCAGGAGGCTCCCACTATCACCAAAGGGCTGAGGAGCCACAGCCAGCTCAGCCCTGGAGTTTTTTCCCATGGGGTGGATGCGAGAAGAGGAGCAGGGGTGTGCTCTGGACTCTGCTGCCATAGGGGAGTTGGGGGAAGCAAGGTGCAGCAGCAGCTCCGGGATAAAGTTTGTCTCCAGCCCCTGGAAAAGGGTTGCTACTGGTGAGAAGAAATTAGATTTTCAGCCTCCTCATGGTTCATGTGTGAATCTGATGTTGAGATATCACTCTGCATATTTCACCACAGTGTAGGATTTAACTACAGAACAGATGCCTGGATATTCCAAGGTGTGCTGGTAATAATGAACACCAGCAGCTGGGTAATGCCTAATCTCTGATTCAAGCCACTGGCAAAAATTCATTCTTTTTATTTTTTGGTAGCTGCTGGTTTTGATAATACTATATTTTATAATTGCTGAAGCAGCTGAGTTTTGTTATGTTGCTGCAGTTTTGTGTAATTACTCTCCATCACTATAATTTTTCTTTTAGTTAAATGCATTGGAGGTTATAAACTCTTAACTATCAACTATAAATATTCATGGGGAGTGAGAATAGTTCTAACTACCATAAAAGCTTTTTCCCAATAATTTTGGCTAGTGCTCTCTATTTATACAGGTTGCTTTTCTGATGGTGTTATGGCATAAGTAAAAAAAAAAACAATATACATATCACTTCAAGCAACAGCCAGTCATAGACCCAGGTCCCCTACAGTCTGTTGTGCTGAGAATTCTGGGCTCCTCCACAAAGGGCAAGCAGGAGAGGTCCCCCGATGTGAATGTGCTATAAAACAATATTGTGTTTCCCTTAAGAATTGCAGTGATAAAAACATAGACCATTCTGCAGCACTAGCAACTTTAATAAAATAACATAAAGCACAGCTGTCAGGTCTGCCAGCATCTCACACTGGGAAAAATGAGTGAGAAAATGAACACTTTTCAAAAGCAGAAATATTCAAAGAGCTCCACTGTTTACATGTAATCAAGACTGACTGTCATAGATTATCGGTGGAGGAGCATTTTCTGCTTGAGGTGAAAGAAGAGGATAATTTATCAGGAAGCCCAAGAAGTCAGACATCAGTAATGATCTGCTTAAAGAAGGGCATATCTTAGAAATGGTGCATTTATTTGTACTGCAAGGCAAGAAGCTGTTTGGAGTTATAAACACAAGTCTTGGTGCTTGAAGAATGTTGAGCAGATACAGTGTGTAATTTGCTGGGCAGCTGCGATTAGAGACCTGACTAATGTGTGTCCCAGTGCTTGTTCAGAATATTAAAAGAAAAATTTAGCATAATAGAGATTGTCTAAAAGAGCTGCTCATGCTCTCTCATTCTGTTCCCTCCTTTTGGAGTTATCCAAGCTATGCTGAGGGCATTGGTCACCTTCCTGTTGATGCTCAGGATTTGGAGACACTCCTGCAGTGAATGTCTACAAGCAGGTTTAGTTTCAGAGAATTTGGGGCTTTCAGGGTTTTACAGTAAAACATTTTGTCCACCTGCTGCGATGCTTTTGCATCACCTTCCTCTTGTGAAAACAGGCCAAGTACCAGCTGCTTTGAAATAGTAACTAAATTGGTGCCCTAGAGAAAAGGTTTTATAGACTCGCCTTGCCTTGGTGTGCACTGAGTTTGAAGAAGTAGAATTGTTGTACAGAAAGTATCACAAACTTCAAGCTAGTCTGTGTTTGGATATATCTGAATAAGGATTTCAGCTCAACACAGCTTTTACTGTCTGATATGGGTAGGAAAGATGGGTGAATCACTATTTTTTAATGAATGGATATCTATGGCAATTAGAAGCACTTTTTTGCCCTTTAGCTTGAGCAGAACCATGGGAGTGTTCTTCAGGTGCAAGAGAGTTTTTCTTCCTCAGTTTAATCCAAACTTTCAATACAAGTCAGATGTTTGCAAAGATGCACAGCTGGGACTTGTATGTGTGTGTGAATATGAGCACACTCTAAGGCACAGAAGTCCCTAAGAAACAAGTATCAGCTGTTATGTTTGTTCCCTACCTGAATTCTAAATCAGTATAATTTACAACCGAAATATCTATGTTCTCCTCTCCTGAAAGCAGCTTTACAACTTAGCCAAAATACTACAGAGACTGTCTTAATTTCTCTTCATTAAAACAAACAAAAACATTTTACATAAAGTAAAATTTTACATAAAATTAAAAAAAAAAAGTAAAAAGTAGCTTTAGCTTACAGAGGCCCTCACGGGGAGAAATGAACCCAGCTGAAAAGTACTTTACTTAAGAACACATAAATAACCAGGTGAGAGCAAACCCATCCATGATCATAGTCCCTTGTCACCATTAGGGATCCCTGGCAGATCCTGGAGATTTGAAGAACCAGGAAGGTGCACAGGTGGACCTGCATTGTGCTTTTCAGCTTCCATGGATTTGTAGTATGTGCAATCCCTGAGCTAGAGCTTGATCAGCAACCTTTATTTTGTCATCTCTTTGTTGGTACTGTTGATCTTCAACCTGCCAAGTGTTTATCATCCAGAAGGCCATGGAATGTTGTGGGGTTGGAACAGACTGCAAAGATCACCTGGTCCCAGACTGTTTCTGCCATGGACAGGGACACATCCCACTGGACCAGGCTGCTCAAGGCCTTATCCAGTGTGGCTTTGAGCACTGCCAGGGTTAGGGCACCCACAACTTCCCTGGGCAACCTGTGCCAGCATCTCACCACCCTCACAGCAAAAATTATCTTCCTAATATCCAAGCTAAATTGCCCTTTTTCCAATTTGTACCCATTACTCCTTGTCCTATCACTACAATTCCAAGTGAAGAGTCCCTGTGGGCCTCCTTCAAATACTGAAAGGTGCTGTGAGGTCTCCATGGAACCTGCTCTTCTTCAGGCTGAACAGCCCAAATTTTCTCAGCCTGTGTTCATAGAGAAGGTGCTCCTGTCCTCTTATCAACTTCTTGGCCTCCTCCAACTCCTGCTCTAGCAAGGTTATCCATAATTGAACTATTTTGCATCAGTGGCTCTCTCTATGGTTTGGCTTTTACTGGAGCTGCAGGATGGTGGTGTCAGAGGAGGGTAGGAAGCCACCAGAGGTGGTTTTCCCAATACCTCCAGTGTTATTTTGGTAATATCACAACCTAAGTGGCTCTGGGGTGATAATTGTGGATTTCACCTCAGAAATGACTGGCAGAGTAAGAGCTTTGAGCACAGAGTAGTCCTGGGATTCTGTCTGGGGATAGATGCAGCAATTTTATACAGAAATAATACTCATCTCTATATCAGTTAACCTTGGCTGTGGCAGTGATTTAACACCTCAGGCTGTGGTTTCTCTGTGTGGCCACAAAATGTGGAGGCACCTTTTCAGTGAGAGAGGCTGGAGACACCTGCACTGAGCTCCCACCCAGGCTGGGCTGCTCTGTGTCCTGGGGGCTGTGCACTGGCAGCAGGGCTGCTGGGCTTCCAGGCAGGTTTCAGGATTCATTGCTGCTCTCCATACATCTGTTTTAACCTCAAAGATTGATTATTTTTAAAGGTTAGCTGTTATGTAGCAGAAGAAACCCTCGCCTTTGCCAGCTTTGAGAATTCACTGTAGTCTGTAACTGCACAGTTTTAATTTAGACAACAACAACAGCCATTGCAGGTTAACCTTCCTTATTACTACTCACTTCAGTTTTTTTGAACAGGGAAAAAAAAACACACCACCTACCAGTCACATCCCCCCTTTACCAGGCTGCACGTGGAGCCAGCTCTCACCTGGATTGTGCAGAAACAAGATAGCAAGGGAGAGCAGCAGCCAAACCATGTCACTAAAAGCAATTCTGGGTTAAACAAGGAGACCTTGAGGAACAGGGGCAGCTCTCCCTTGCCTTCCAGCTTTTGCCTGCTGTACCTCCTACCAGCATTACCATATTGAATGACCAAAACACTGCTTTTATTCAGAAAACAGCTCACACCTCAGTCAGATTTACCACCACTTGCCTTGTCCTGATGCATTGTCTGGTGAGGTGTGAGCATTCCCAGTCCATAGAAAGCACAGGGTGATGGATACTCTTTCCAATAACTCATTGCCAGGTCAGCTGAGGTACCTGCACACCCTGTGGGTGTGTGCAGAGGGTGACAGCAGACACTTGGACCCAGGGCATGTGCTGATAGTGTGTACACTGTACCAGTCCCTGCCTTTTAAATACTTCTAATTCTGTGGCATTATTACAAGATGGATTTATAACATACTTAGTACTAATGTAACAATGAAGGTTAGTCTTCTTTGAGTCGAAGAGTAATACACTTTAATTTGCCTACAGCTACTGCATTGTATTGGCACGAAAGGAAATGGCTTTCTAATGCAGCTTCATCTGCTGAGCAGGGGGAAATCTGTGCTGCAGAGTGTAAAACTACACAGGACTCTAGCTGGCAGCAAAATTCAGAGTAGGAGAAACACAGCACAAATAAAAGTATTTGTGAGTTGGAGGTATGCTAACAATCCTAGTTTATTGCTAAACATCCCATATACAGTAATGCACTTTGCTTGGAGGTTCATGATGGCTTCATCTTTGTTTTTTCACTGCTTCATCTTCTATACTAAAATTTTTTCCTGGAATAAGAAGCGTAAATTCATTAATTTTCAAAAATTTTTTGTGATATTAACAGGAATTTGGTATTATGAAGTTCCTTAGAAGCACTGGTGCTGTTAATGCAGTCTGTGCTGTGCTCTAAACCTAGAGAACCACTGGAATTTCAATACTTGATCTGTTAAGTAAATGTTTCTGCTATCTGGTGTAAATGCTGCCGTCACTTGGCAAGTGTCAGGCGTTCTTTGAATAGACATGTGCACAAATAGTCACTCAAATGCCAGTATTTACCCTAATGTGGAGCTCCCCTCTTCAGGAAAGCAGCAAACTGTCAGCTTCTCCCTTCTTCTTGAGTGGCAAAGTAGGAAATTATCATGTCTGGGACAATATCATGTAACAGCTACTGCATATGGGATAGAGCAAATTTTTGTGGGCATAGCGTGCAAGTTGGACATAAAAATTATATGTTTCTTATAATTTTTTTCCCCCAAGAAATCAATGAAATATAATTATGCTTAAAATAGCAGGTTTTGTTTCTAGACCAGGGATGTGTCTCCCTTTCAACAATGGCAGGGAAGGATGAATAACTTGCATGCAGAGAAGGAATTGAAAAAATATTAATATAAACTGCTGGTGGGAAACAGCTGCAAAAGGGCCTTGTTATTACAATAGGTCTTTGATTGGAAAGGTGTTCCCATGGGCAGAGGAAAAGGCAGAGAGACAAATTTACAGGAAATAGTGACAAAGTGTCCAGCTCACTCCAGTGGTGGGATGGGTGCTTCAAAGGACCTGAGTGTTTTCCTGTTGTTTTATCTGCCAGCTTTGCATCAATGGCTCACAAGGTGTCTGAGCATCAGCCCACAAAGCTGAGCCTGTCCCTGCCTGCCACTCACCCTGGCACACGGTGCTGTCCTTGGAAATGCAGCCACTGTCACCACTCTAAACTAGCAACCTTCACTCTTCCTCTCTTCATCACCAGGTCCATCCATCCTGAAGACCCTTGGAATAGTTAGATTGATTGCCCTAAATTTGACATTCAAACTGAAAAAATAATAAATTGAATTTTTATTCTTTTCTCCCTCAAAAAGTTGCAGCGACACGACAAAGATGATTCCCCTGACAAGTGGAGGACAGAAGAAGAAATGGCAGCTGAAGCAGAAATTCTGAAGAAGTATTTCCAGGAAAATTAGAGGTAATGATCTGAACTTTGACTTACTCCTGCAGCACCCAAACCTTTGCTCAAGCCTCCAGAGGCTTCTTGAGGACAACAGGGCAAGCACCTAGAATGAAACAAAAGAAAAAAAAGCTCTTAATTGTGTGTTGTTTCAAAAAAATCACGGCACTGCTATGGTGGCTGAAATAATATGCTCCTTCTTGAACAAATCAGCACCATCCTAGAGCATTTTGTTTCCACACAGCAAAAATAATGGTGTATCTAGAAATGAGAATCATCAGCATTTACTTAAGAGGAGTCTTCAACCTAATATATCCTCACTCTTTTTTTAAGACAGAAAACAGCCCTGGTACCTCTACACAGAACTAAAACTGGTGTGTCTGTGTACAGCCACATATGCATATGCACCTATACATACAAATTTGCATGAGGATTCAGACTATAGAGTGCATAAGCAAATACTAACCTCACCTATACTTTATTAAGTATTAAATAATTTTATCAGTTCAACTTCCAAAACTAAGCCTGCTGGAAAACTGCCTGTTCTGCTAACTTTTCCACTGACCTTAAGAGAAAAAGAAAGATTTTCAGGGAGGAATAGAAAAGAGAAAACACTTGGCAAACACTAACATTGGTGCTCTAGAAATTGAGAGTTTTTCATTTTGTACCTGGAGTCCCAGAAGCCAGATTCTTCCAGCAGAAATGAGCTGGCCCCTGGAGATCAATGTGAATTAGGCTGGGATGTAATACTGCAGCAAGGATGGCAAATCTTCCTCTCCCCTGCTCCCCATATGCTGTTTGCCATCATCCAGTACTCTCACTTCTCTGTCATTTCTGACTGTTTCATGTTTTTCCTCTGAAGAACCAAATTCCCAGAAATAACCCTCCTCTCTCTGTGTGACTCACTACTTGCAGCCCAGCTTGAGAAATCATGAGCTAAACTGTGCGTTGTAGGGGTGGCACACTTACGTGGCAGCGCTCATCTCCTGTGCTTTCTGCCATTTGGATGGCATTTTGGATGACTCCATTTGGAGTTCATCAGAGTTCCCCTTCCATGTTTTTTCTTGCATCGTGACCATGCTCTTGTCTTCTCCAGCCAAAGTAGCTGTGCCAACCCTCCTGTGGATGAGCACAGAAAAAGCCATGTAACACATGTAATTCCCATCTGTGAAGGAAATTTCTCCCCAGCAGCTGAGACCTCCAGGGTTTGGGCTACACAGTCACATTTCTGCAGTGGCTGCTGGAGTTGCATTTAGACACCCACTTTTCACCTTCTCAGAAATATGCTGCTCAAAAGTGAATTACTCAGCCAGGAAGAGCATATCCTTGGTAATGCATGTGCAAGCACTCTTCTCTAACAGAGGCTTTATGTGGTGCTTCATCTATGGCCCAGCAACCAATGAGTAGCACCTAGGGAGAAATGGCACATCCCTATTCCAGTGTGATATTTTTTCCCTTTATTGATTTGGTAGGTTTTGGGGGGGGATTTTTATTTGTTCTCTTCAGAAATGAATTGGAAATGCATTTTTTCCTAGAGATTCTCAAAGGCATTGGAATTAAATCCCCATATATCAATAAAATGTTCTTTATCTTTTCTGATACTAACACAGAGCTGGATAGATGGCATAAATCCTTTCCTGCAAGCAAATTTGTGTGGCTGGACATCTATTTCCATTTATTATGAAAATGAGTCAGCGTGTGTCTGCATGGATGACCTCTTGATACGTTTCCCGTGATATTAAGGTCATTACCTTTCCTAGAACAAACTGGTAAATTAAATCTTCCTGGCATCATTATCATGAGAGTGCCTAGTACAGGCAGTCCTTCCAACACTTAATTCCCAACATTAGGCATCACTGTCAATCTCTTCTCCCCAGCATTATTTTGCCTTTGAGGTTAAGGCTCTGAACCCGAAATAAAGGTATATCTATGCACCTTCTGCATTTCTCAGCCTTTGTTTTCTCTCTTAACCTTGCTTCTAAAGTGATGAAGACTGAAAACTTTTGGCAAATTAACAAGGTTATATGCATCCTTCTTTGAAGCTATTTTTGAATTTCACCTACAAGGGATTTATTTTGCCATTTGTGGGTTTACCTGAGTGACACTTGACTTGAGGTTTCTTCATGCAGCATAGGGGAAGTCAGAAAGAGCTGAATGTGGGTGTTCTGCAGCCAATAAATAGCGATTTTTAAGGCCTCATGCATTATTTTTGTACTTCATTGTTTTGTTGAAAGAAGCCCAGCTTAGCTGCCTTAGCCTGGGCAGACTGAGCTGTGTTTTAGGGCTTTTCCAGCTATCCTTACATTTATCACAAGTCCTTCACCACAACTCCTGTAAGACTAGACAAGGTCCAGTAGCATCTTTTACCTGTATTTAGAGACTATCTAATCAAGAAGGACTTGCAAGTAACTTTTTCTTAATAAATACTTGAGTAAGGCAAGAAGCTCTAAGTTCTCTCTCTACTTAATTTGCTGCTGATGATCCCTCTTGGCTGACTAGCTACAGTAAAGTGCTTCTACATCAGTCCCCAGATGACCCAAAATATCCACCCACTTGCTTCAAGAAATGAACACATTTAACCTTGCTAGGTTTCCACCCTTGCAAAAATGCTTATCTTTAAATATTTTATCTCTGTGTGCAATATCAGTGAGTGAATTTGTGCTTTGCTTGTGTTTCTGGTCTTCCCCTGGGTGTCCCCATGCCACTGTATCCCACCTCATTAGAAGGACTTGATCTTCCTGCTCACAGAACTGTGTCCACAGAGCTGAAGCTCAGGAGAACTTCATTTGACTCTAGAAGTTAGAAAGAAAAGGAAAGAAAATTATTCTGGAGGGTGGAAATTTAATACAGAATTTCCCCAGTCAGTAACTCTTGTTATCAGCACCAAGATTTTACCTCTTTAGAGCCTCTCTGGGAGCTGTTTCCCATTTCTCATTCTGTGTTGGCTGTCCTCTGGTCAGGCGTGTTTGGTAACTTGGCTGCTATTTGAGGTGGATCCACAGGGAAAAGGTCCTTTCTCAAAGAGCAGGATTTGATGCAGCACCCTAATTTCCAAGCCCATTTTCAGATGCGCCTTTTGAATTTTCTAGCTATGTGTAGCTGGGTGTTTTGATAGTCTGTTTTGAGCATTTTAAATTGCACATGCCAGCAAAAAGGCTAAAGATTAAAAGACTTTAACCTTCAGATAGTATGTGAAAAATATTTCTCTTCAAAGGCAGCTTCACTCTGTGTTGTTATTTCTGAAGAAAGAACCAGGCTGCACAAGTTTCAGTAGTTTTCCTACTTTGTGCATAACTGAAGTAATACTTTTATGCCATTAGAAAAGTAGTCAGTCTTAAGTACGGTGTCAAAATGTCCCTTTGCATAAAGAAGTTGACAGTGATATTCTGTTGCCAAGTACTTGGAGTTACAAATATTCAATAGCTTTTAATTGCTTAACCACCTGAATATTTTGTGTCCTGCAACATGCCAAATTCTTGTAGAAATCCCTTCAAATAATGTGACCTGCACAGTCTTGCAGGATTTCTGATGTCAGTTCTCCCCCTTGTCCCCAGTCTGGCAATGTTTCTGGATAATACAGTCTTTCCAGCTTTTCAAGAGAGTATAAATTCTACTCTTTTTTCCCCCCACTCATTCTTTGAGAGCACTCATCCTGCCCCACAGCTGCCTGTTCTGCACCAAGATCTCGGCATGTGTGAGAAAATGCTGTTCTATTGACTTCAGCAGGGAAATTACCACTGATAGCAGGCCAGGGGGAATTTAAACTGGCAATTTGACTTGCATCTGATTTTGCTCCAGCACCTCTGGAGTGTGACAATCCATGCTGCATGCATGAGAGTGAACACCAAAGCAATCCCATCACTTTCCTTAAATTTAGGCAAGTACGACAAAATGACTTGCAACACCCATCTTTGCTTGTTTTACTGTAAGAAAAACCCTCCTATCATTTCTGGTACTTTAAACTGCATAAACCCACAAAGCAATGGCCATGTCTGTGATGCACAGAGTGGATCTGGGATGCAGTGAGGACATCTGCCCCAGAAGATGCACTGTGGGCCACAGAGCAGGGTGGGCACCTGGGTGGGCACCACCGCACGGTGCAGGTATTTTCTGCACTTGGTGCTGTCTGTTGGCAAAGCAGAGTGACCAGGCAGTTTTGAAAAGCACAGCATGCTGTGTTATGGGAAATGGGAGCAGGGACAAGGGCTGCAGCAAGCAGACACCCTCAGCAGTTTCAGAGCCTCACTTGATAAAGCAGGGCAACCTTTTGAGAGCTTACACTGGAGTTAGAGTCAGGTGGTGCCAGGGCCTGGGCAATTCCCAGAGGGCATGGTCTAGGAGCTGTTTGTGTGTAATCCTGCAGTAAACACACATCCCAGTAATCTGCTATAGATTTCTCTGCACTCCAGACTTAAGTGCTATTAATTATAGCCCCCACCCAGAAGCCTCCAAGAAGCATTAATTAGAAAGCAGGAGCTGGCAGTTTGCTTGCCTGTGTGAAACTATTATGACCTGAGAATGAAGTATGAGCTTCAAAAGAAACACATTTTATGAAGGTCACCTTGAAAAACATCATAAAATTCTGTCAGAAGAGAATGCAGCACTCCAAGTGTGCATTTCAGTGTGACATTATGCTTTAAGTAGTTGGAAATAGCAAAGAGAAGATGGATCAGATCACAGGGTCTGTGCTTTTCCACCTAAATTCTCTTTTTTCTGCGGTAACTACATATAAAGTAATGTTTTTGTCATTTCAATGGGATGCAAGGAAAGTTAATTATCAACACAAATCCAACAAATGTAATCTGGCCCTTGCTGGTATTTTTTTAAGTGTAAAATAACCAGACTCTCCAACTCTGCAGCAGGGAGAAGGTTTATACACAGGAATTACATTACCTCTTCAAGGGGTAAACAGGCAAAAGTGGTGCAGTGACTCTACAGCAGTGACACTCAGAAAGCTCAGGGCAAAAGGCTTCCCCGAATAAATGTGGTCTGCTAATGCACAGCAGCCTCAGTGTTGAGGATGATTATTTTTCTGGTTGAAGCATGTGATTATTTCTTATGAAAACAGAGCTACAGGAGAGCTAGCTAGAATTATAAATGAAATGTCATCCTCTCGTGGGAGGCAATGATGTCCCCCTCACATTGTTTTGAGGCTGGAAGTAGTACTGTCCTGGAAGTTATACATTATTATAAAAAGTTATTTCATTTCCTTATAGGTGGCCATTTAATTCAGCTGTTCAGTACATGAATTCCATACAGCAGTGCCTGGATCCTGTAATTATGGCCACAGTAGAAACATCAGGGCCAGAGACTCAGGCATGATTCTACAGCATAAATGCAAAGCAGCAAATGTGCTGCTGATGGTGAAGAAAGCTGACAGCCAAATGTTTCTCTTAACCTGCATATCCAGCAGCCTGAATGCCTACCTGGGCTTCCTGTCAAAATCAAATATTGTCAGTGGGATCAGTTCTTGATTCATCATGTGCTTTGTGTGTCACATTGTATGGGAGGAAAATGGGGAAAGCTGAGCGGAAGGGGTGGACATGACTCTGAGGACCTGGGGCAAAAGAGCTGAGGTGCAGGACAATGCCGAGCTTCAAATAAGGATGATATCAACTGTGACTAGGTATTTTTACACCCGAACCTGCTCTAAAATGGTGCTAATCTCTTGCCCCCGAAGCTGCCAGAGGATGCTGTTCGCGAGCAGCCAGACCCTCCTTGAAGCAGATTCACAAAATCCGTGCCAAACGCTTCACAGGCTGCCATCGAACCGTCAGTCAGGAGGGGCTTACAATGGAAACTGTTGCTCAAAATGCCGTGGGAATGGGAAACATATGTTTCAGTGAGAAAGACAATCAAACAAAGAAGTGGGTGGCTGGGGAATTGCAGCCACGGCAGCAGCAAGAGCCGAGCCTTGCGCGCAGCCCCGGGAGCGAGTTCGGGGCCGTGCCCTCATCTAACACTTGGGTAACAGTTTTGTGTTTAATAAGCTGAGATAATTTTCCCAGCTCTAAATATGTTCTGAAGTGAAGGTACAAAACTGAAGATACCAAGCCAAAAGCCTATTTCATGCTCAATTATTAGCAAAGGTTTGTATCGTGGTATCCTGTTGCTGTAGAACTGCCCAGAGAGACACTGGAACCAGCAACTCGAACCTGACCTCAAAGCTTCAACACTGCCTTTGTGTGAGTGTCGCTGGCTAGGCTGTGTAGGTGGTAAGGCATTAATAACTCCTCCAGCAAGCAGTTATTTGAGAAAGGAAGGGGGTGATGGATGTTGGAAATATGTTGGACTGAGTGTACTCGAGGCTGTTGCTTGCAGGATGTCAGTCCCCACACAAAAGCAGAGGTACTGCAGGGATAAACTCAAATGTCTCACTTGTGTCAGCACCTGTGGCTGCTGCAAGCCGCCAGCTACCACTGCAGTAGCAACTGTGCTGTGAGTTTCTGCAGGGATTTCACACACAGCTTCCACAGCTTCAGGCTCTCAGCATTTCTATTTCCCTGCTTCAGGAACGCCTTTCACATCTGTCATGGCATCTATTACAGGTCTTTTACTAGGATGGACCACCAAGAGATGCATAAAATTGGAGCTGATGTGGAAAGAAATGCCCCATTTATTCTCCAGCATGTGAAGCTGAGGGCATTTTCTGGGTGACGGTCCCAAACCACTGATGTGTAGTTCCTTGGCATTAGGCAGAGTCCCACCACATGGTCAGGTTGGATGAGGACAAACAAGAGATGATAGTCTTGAAAGATTATTTGTAGGAGCTTATATAAGAGATCATGAGCCCCAAAGAGTCTTGCATGAGGTTATTATAGCAAAATAGATTTGAAGAGTAAGAAGCTGGATTTGGTGACACAAGATGCCCTTTCTAATCCTCATAGGAGAAGCAGTCAACAGAGCAGGGACTGTGCTGCCTTACTCAGGGACATCAGAGGGGTGGCCTTGCTTCATGTTTGGTTTTTGTAAAATGATCCTGACCTCTGTCCAGGGGTGCTTTGTGAGTTAGGAATGAAAAGCACAATGTGAAAGGCAGGCATTAGTATTATTTGCAAGTGCAGTTTACTGAAAAAGCAGATAATAAATTGGACAAGTCTCTTTCTTGCTCTGGCAAATTTCAAAATAGTTGTGTGCAAGGCTTTTCTCCTCTGTTGCATGGGCAGCAATAGGAGCTGCAATGTGCTGTGTGGGGGTTTAACAGTGAACATTTCCTTTTGCCTATTGCTGTCAGTGACTCCTGTCAGAACACACTAATGAGCACCTAAGTCGTTAGTAATAAACAGCCTCACATTTTGTCTTACTAACAAAGATCAAAGCTGCTATTTATTATATGTAATGATCTGTTATGTTTGATACTCCTCAGGTAACAAAGTGTTTGGAACACATCCTATGACACCAGAAAGTCCCCAGAAAGAATCACCTCATTCTCCAGTTCTCAGTGGCCCTGCAGCTGCAGCTCGACAATTTTATTATGTTCTACAAATATGGGATTCTTCCATGAAAAATTTTATTGGACCTTTGGATATCATCAAGGTTGAATTCCAGCTAAGACAACTCAACAGCACTGGTTCAAAATATTGCTCTGAATTGTAACTCATATTTTTCTGAATTGTGTACTTGGGAATGAATCTTTTTAAATTGTCCCTTGGCCTAAATAGAAATAAAGTACCAGGAAATCTGGTAGCTACTGCGTTTAGGTACATTATAAAGTCTTTACTCCTTGTTGTGCTCTTTGATTCAGTTATTGTATGTAGGCTATTTTATCATAGAAAAATTAGATCTTTTAGCAGTGTGGCAATTCATACGAACCAAGACTTTGTTACAGACTAGCCAAGATAAACTTGGAAAGCTGTTTCTTCTTCAGGTGAGTTCTATAACAAGAAATATTAAGCTTCCTGAGATCTTTCTTTTCTCTGTTCTTTTGATGCATTATGCAAAGGCTTCTGGAGTTTTAAGTGATACAAAACACTTCTGTAAAACAATTAATATGAGAAGTTGCTCATGGGACAATAATCACATTAGGGTTAGGCTGGCATGAATGGCTGCTCCCAGCCACAAACAACAAGTGGGAGCCTCCCACGTGGAACAATCTCTGGGCAAGAAATGCTGTGTTCAGAACCCCACACAGGAGGAAACCCACCACAGGTTAGTTGTTGGTTGCTAACACATAATGCATGAAAAGAAGTCAAAAAACAGATGGAAGAGAGAAGACATGAGTCTGTAAGATTTGCATGAAAAGAGGACCCATAATCCTCCTTTGGAACTGCAGAGAAGCAAACAATCAAAGCTTTCTGTGTCCCCCAAACTCAGGATGAAAAGCAAAATGCCCCCAAGTCTTTCAATAAGAGTCATGCTGAGGGAGGCCATAGGGTACCTGAGGGCTTGAGGAGGTCACGGTCAGGTCCAGACCAGAGCCTGGCAGAGCTTTGCCTGCCTGGCAGCACAGTGTGAGCATGTTCAGAACAAATTCAACTGCTCCTGCCTGGATAGTCTGTCCTGGAGGGTTACAGCCTGACCTGAAAAGTCTGAAAATGCACAATGGATGAGTTCTCATAATTTTCACCAAGTCTCTCTCTGATCGGTACTGCAGAGCCTTTAAGTCTTTATGCTTGTCAAATAGAAATAGAAATACTAGAGCAAAATCACAGATGTTTGATTCCAGTTTTTACTGTCATGCTATTTAAATATTGCTCCTGAAAACCACTGTGATTCAAAGACTCACCATGACCCAGTGTGGCCCCCAGTATCTTTCATTAGCCCTTTTAAAAACTGTACCGATTGTAACACTATTTCTTTTTCTCTGCAGAGTAAATGAAGGTGTCTGCACTTTTTAGACCCTGAGCAAGGGCTGAATAAACAGGAAATGAAGGTCAGGGAGCAAGAAATGACAGAGAAGGTAAGGTGAGCAGACAGAATGGTCAAAGTTGCTGGCAAACGGGCCAACATAAATGGTTGTCCTTTTGCACTTCAGCATTTCAAGTTGCTGTGATTTCACATAGAAGGAAGACAATGGTTGTGCTGCTGGGGAACACTAAAGAGAAACCTCAGCATCAGTTACATTTGCAAGGGATTTTCAAACCTGCTGCTCAATGGCTTCCTATTTATTATGGAATATTCTGCATTAATTCCATAGCCTGTGATGAGCAGGCGCTGTGCCAGCCATTTTGCATGGGGGCTGCAGAGCAGATGAGTGCAGAGCTCCATGGAAGATTTCATTTGTGTAAATGAGGAGCCCGTTATCACAGCACTAAAGGTCCTGGTTTTAAAAAAGGCCTCCTCTGACATTATGCACAAAACAACCTATTTATGCAGCATGAAAATATTTATGTGCTCTGCTCCAGCTTAAAAAGGGAATTTGCAATAGATGAGGGACATGAGAAAGGATTGGAGTGAGAGATAAGGAGAGATTAGAAAAGGTAGATCATGAAGTACATGACATCCTGCAGCAGTATGTGGAGTAAACCCTCATGGTTTTTTTAAGATACGGCCTTGAAGATGCTGTCTGGATCATTTATATACTTCTTACAGACTTAATTTTCCACGGGCAAGGAGCTGTTTGCAGGGATGCCATTGCTGGAAATGTGAGGAGATGCTGTGCTGAAGACACTGATGAACTTTGTAATCACATTTGTCCTTTTCAGCCTTCATCCCTCTCCCTCATGGGAATCATGCCTGGGGTTTGCCTATGGGCTGGGGAACGCTGCAGTGCTGAGCTCCCTCACCCAAAGCAGGAGATGTGGAAAAATTCACCTGTGCAGGGGCTCAGATGGACATGGCACAAGAGGAGTGGTCCCAAGGGGGTGGCTTCATAACAGGACAGAGCTCAGACCCTCATTCCCTGTCCTTACACAGAAGAAAATTACCTAGATTTTTTCCATTCCTAAGAGTTTTTCCTGAAGCAGCAGTTCCTCTGCAGAGCTGCAAGGGCTGTGCCAGGTATGGTTCAGCCACAGTTCTCCTCAGACTTGTAGCAGCAGCCTGGGAGCTCCACGTGTCCCCTGACTGCCCTGGAACTTGCAGAGGTTCCTCAGGACACGCACAGGAGAGCAGACAGGTTATTGGGAGCTCAGTCTGATGGGGACACATCAGCACATGCATCCCCTGCCATGCCAGGCAGCTCAAGTGCTTTCAGAGTGCAGCATGGGGGTGTTTGTTATTTGCCTTTCAGCAGTTCAGCATTGTTCTTGCTCCAGATGCAGATGTACCAGCTCCAGGTTCTCCATGGCACAGCTGATGCCACCCCAGGCAGCTCAGAATGGTTATGTGCTGACAGGTCAATGGGCTGGGGATGGGCCATGTCAGCTCCCTGAAGACTTTGTGTGTTAATTCGGAAATCTGAGCTGCTTCTAACCTCCCCCAGCACACTTTCACCCACCCTGCAGGTGTCAGGCTCTCTTTTGATTCTGTGCTCAAATAAGGCAGTGTTTTGGTTTTAGTTAATCTTAGAGAGAAGGGAAAATGTTCTGCTGGTCTCTGTGGGAGCCTGACTGGGCTGCAGGCTCAGGCTGATGCCAAGACAGCAGGTCCTGGCTGCAATGGGGGGAGTCATGGTCAGCTCCTGGCATGTGACAGAACCCTGAAATGTGGCCAGGGACTGAGCACTCCTGAAATAAAAATACCTGAACCCACGTGGAATCCAGGGTGATCTCATACCTGGTCACAAAGCAATAAAAACCTTAATGCCCCAGCACCCACAGAGCTGATGAAAAACTCTCAAGCCCAAATACACACACAGTGACAGCCATGAAAGTACCAAAATAATTTCTATGCCAGCTTCCTGTGTCCTCCTATCCACTCCCCACCTCTCACTGTCACTGTGGTCGATGGCTGCTGAAAAGCCTTGTCCAAATCCTGCATCCTGACGTGCAGGCCAGCAACTCTGTGAAGGAGAAAATGCTGCTGCTCATGTAAGCTGTCCTGTGTGTTGGCAGGGCTGTGAGTTTCAGAACAGAGTGATATATTTCAGCTCTTGTGAAATTTTTGAATAATCAGCTCATCAAAAAATATCATGCCGAGTTCCCTTGTAGTCCTTTCCAGCTTGCCACCTCTCCTGCCAATAGCTCCGTAGGGTGACCACAGCTTGGCAGAGCCCATTAGCACAGCTCTGCACAATCACTCATGAGTAGAGCTGGCTGGAAAATACAACCTTCCCTCCTAAAAAAAAAAAAAAAGAAAAGAAAGAAAAAAGAGGAGGTAGGGCAGAGGGTGTGTTTAAGGATGAAGATTTTTCCCACTTCTCTCTCCAGAACCCTCTTCTGCACCCCCATTGTACGTCACCATGTTTCCTCCTTTGACTCCAAGAAAATAAAAATTCAGCTTAACATGGCACAGACATTGGATGCTGTTTGATCTGCTGGTGACTCCTCCTGGCCCCCAGGGCTTGGACTGTCACTGCAGGATGGGCACCAATGCACTGGCACCTTCTCCACCAGAGACTCCTGAGCAAGTTGTCCTTGGACCCACAAATTTGCTGCAACTGCCCAGTTTCTTCTTGGGAGATTTTTGAGAAGAAATTCTTGAGATAGATTTCTCTCCTTGAGCAGCACAGCAGCCTGCTGCTTGGGCATCTGGGAGCTGGTACCTTGTCTGTGCATGGTGAGATGGGGAATGCTGGAAGGGCCTCAGGGAAACCCGACCAGCAGTGCTGCAGAGACAGGGGCTAAGCCAGAATCCCTCCAGCTCTCCTCACAGCCTGGGCTGCCTCCAGGCATGCCCCCTGTGCTTTCCCATTCATCTTAGACGCCTGTTTCCAAGTCCCAGGTGACCATTGCTTTGGCTGGGAAGAGCAGAGTTCCTCTGTGTCCCCTAAGGATGCTCAGCTGCTGACACTGTGGGGAGGAGGCTGCAGAGCCCCTTAGGGCAGGTGGCAAACAAGTCCTGCAGAGGAAGGTGGTGCAAAAATCAATGGTTAGTGCATTAGGATTAAAGCTGTGGCATGAAAGCCTTGTATGGCTGACATTATTATATTTTTTAGGTCTGTGGAAGCTACACTGACTGTGACACTTGGTGCAACATGGGTTTAGTGCTTGTGTCACACTGCAAACCCCTTGTAGGACACAACTGCATCCAGCAATGAGCAATGGCTCCAGCACAGGTTTCCTGTACTGCCTGTGCCCTCCTGGATCTGCCCTGACCTGGCTGCAGCTGCCAAGCATTTGCTCTGTCCCTCTCTACTTGAGTCACCATATCTTTCTGCTCAGGCCTTTGTCATTTTTTTTGTCACCATAGTGACAGGAAAAGAGTGATGATTGCTGGAGTAATTTCCCATATTAGCTAGCACTGGCTTTTCAGCCTAAATCAGCGCTTCATTTTCCCTGTGCTCTGGCTGAGCATCACTGGAGCATCATTGAGGAGTGGTGGCAGAGGGGCCTTGGTGTGTGGTGCTGCCAGTGCTCCCCAGGGACAGCTGGGGCAGGGACAGGGACTTCAGCTCACCTCACGTCCCACCAAGAATGCAGAGAGAGAAGGGGAAGACAAAAAAAAATGTATTTGCAAAGGTTTCTCCCTGAGTGCATTTGCTCAGTCTCATGGTCAATAAAAGCAGGAATTTGGGCACTTCCACCTGTCCTGGGGCAGGTGCCTGTCTGCAGGGCAATAGGAAGAGCTCCCCAGAGGTACCTGCTTGCCCTGACTGATGCAGTGAGTGGGCAGAGACCCCCCTGTGCCCCCAGTCTGTGCCCTCT